ATGTTTTGAACTGACATAAATATTCAGATTAATGAAGTACTTTCTTAATTTTATGTCCAGCACCGATTCTCGTATACAGAAAATTCTTCGAGAGAAATTCAAATCTTGTACAGTATTGACAATAGCCCACAGATTACACACAATTATCGATTCGGATAGAGTTCTGGTAAGATTCTTATTTTTAATAAAATAATAAAAATATGTGTTTTTTAATTACACATTTCAAATTTTAGGTTATGGATACAGGAAGACTGCAAGAATTTGATTCGCCATATGCATTACTGAAGAATGTAAATGGTACTTTTTATAATTTGATAAAGAAAACAGGAAAAACTTCAATGAATGAGTTATACAAAATCGCCAAAGATAAATATTACGCTAAAGAAAGTATCGAAAGTACAAGATGTTAAAATAATGAATCGTCTTCGATAATGATTTTAGTAGATTTCGTGTTATGATTTTTATCGTAATACAAGATGTACTGAAAATTTTTATTCACAATTATTTTAGAATATTCCCTTCAAGTGCTATTTTCTTATAGGATGTTAGAGTTTGAATTGTTCAAATGTATATATTTGATACTATTCGTGAGTTATACATGTGTTAAGTTTGTAATCAAGACAATTCTAATGTGTTCCAGTGAAAATTTTGTTTATGGTAAACGTTTAAATAAAATAAGCTTATTCTGAACATTCTTTAATCTATACTCCTTCTATGACTAGTATTCATAATATTCGATTAAAATATTATTTCGGAATTAAAATATAAAATGATATCAAACATATAAAATCGCATAAGAAATTGACGTGAATATCATAGTTGAGTTTCGTTGCCTCTGCAACTACTATTTTTATTACGAGACTTGTCGGTTGCAATTGTGAGATCTTAGCACTTGTCAACATGAGTTTAGTAGCATACAGTCTGTGAAATTACAGCATTATTCATACAAATTTAGTTGCAGGGCAGCTGCCAGTCACAAATCGCTGCTTTTGCTTGCTTTAACGTGATTTTTCTCATATCATATTGTTGCGTGAAACACAGCATATGAATAATATAAAAATTAATTTTGTCAATACAAACTGTGCTAAGTGCAAAATTGTTGCTTATTAGTTAACAGTTTAATTTAGATATCATCACTAATGGCTATTGATAAAATTTGATAATATTTCTGTAATTTATAAAGCTTTTTGTGTAGGTATCTGATATTAGGGGAGATCGGGGCAAGATCGGCATGTTAAGCTTTACTTAAATTTTGTGTAATAAATACTGCTGTAATCTGAAAAAAAAGCTTTGCATATTGTCTATTGGAATGTTACCTTACTATACATCTNAGTGATAAAGAGGAAATGCTTTTTTATTTTCATTATAGTGATTTTAGAAAATGGAAGGTTTTAGGGAGCAGATTAGCTTTTATTTATTACTCGAACATTTTATCAGTTCAGTGTTTTAAAACAAATCAAAGTTTGAACTTGGGAAATTTCTAATTTTCTAGTACATTGTTAAATTGATAAATTGATGAAAGTAATTATATTGCTACCACTTCTTTTGCTTCTGGTGAATGTTTTTACCGGCTTTTGGTATGAAATAAGAAGCCATATTTCCATTAGTTTTGAAATGAATTTACCTTGTTTTCCTGTTTTGAAACAGGAACGTAAATACTGATGATGTTTCCATGGCATCATGAGTAGTGTTAAAAGTCCCTTGTATATATGTAATATAACAACAGTATATTACATAAATTTATACAGATACAACCATGTATGTACACTTATGTGTGTGGGAGACGTGTTCAGGGAAGATATCTAGCAATCAGTGGTAATGAGTGTGAATAAAAAAAATAAAAATGTTTTCCTAAGAACTTACTTTACCTGTTAATATATTGCCAAGTTTTATCATTATATTACTTCCACCTGACACCTAATAATTATGGCTCGACTACTAAATTATAATGTGGTTTATATTATCTATAGCCAGTATGTTATGTAAAAATAAGAGTGTAATATAATATTCTAAAAATGAAACCATTCATAATATAGCATTATCTTTCTCTCTAGTTAGTAATACTTCAGCGTTTTAGTAAAACCAAAATTTATCACCACATAAAACTTTATCCTATATTACCCTATAATTTTGATAAATGTAACAGAATATAACTTTATGTTAGGATGAAACAACTTATTGTTCTTTACTGGTGACACGTGATAATGGCATAAACCTCGTGTGCTAACAAAGAATAAAACCCTTTTTCTAAGATACAATTGCAGTGTCATGATATATGTTGTTAACTTGAAACTTGCTACTGAATAGCCAGTATTTTTTAAATTGAAATTTGACTATAAATACAAATAGCCCTATTCGTATATAGTTAAAACGTATATGAATTCGCCCATATAATACTTTAAGAAATTTCCACTATTCAGATTAGCATTATTAGCATTACTTAGTCGTAAAACTCGTCATTTTCGGTAACTTAATTTGTGAGAATCTATTGTATTATACTAAGTATAAAAATTTCAAAAGTATCTCACCAATGTCTATAGTATTATTTCAAAATGTACTCTTTCTACGTTAATGTCGTGATGAATCACGCTAATTACGTGCTATGCCTAAGAGTACAACGCATTTACAATTCCTGCAGATTTTTGCACAACAGGGTTGCTCTTGTCTGTTAGATGCCAGCACTTTTTCTATGTTAAAAAGTTGCCCAGCAATGGCAAATGTATGTATTGCGTTCTTCATGAACTATAATATTAGAAAGATATTGCTGTTTTACTTTTTTTCAAACTTTTACAAAAATCGACTTTTGAAACAATGGCGCATGACATCTGACTGATGCCATGCAAACAATGGAGAGTTAAATACTTACGTTCCTTCTAACTCTATTGCATCAAATTTAATATATAAACCTATTGTAAAATACAAGTGCTTAGTACAGCTTATGTGTATTTTTTAGGATCCAATGTTATTTACTGGGCCACTTCGAAGAAACATCGATCCTTTTAATGAATATCCAGAAGAAATGTTGTGGAAAGCATTAGAAGAGGTTAGAAATAAACAAATATTACAACTTTTCTAATTATTTTGTATTTATTTTTTAAAAGTGTTTTAATTTTAGGTGCAATTAAAGCATGTTATTGCTAAATTACCTGGAGGGTTGGATACACATTTATCAGAAGGAGGAAGAAATTTCAGCGTAGGAGAAAGACAGTTAATTTGCCTTGCCAGAACCACTCTTCGTCGGAATAAAATTCTTGTTATGGACGAAGCAACATCGAATATAGATAAGAGGTTAGAATACATGATATTCAAAATTTAACTATTTCCAAGTATAAATTACTGTATTTTCGTTTAACATTTGTGTTGTATAGAAAGTTGTTACAACCTTTTCGAAATCTCTAACATATTTCTTCTAACTACTTTAAATAAGTTACAAACTAAACCCAATTAAATGATAATAATTCAATTTTTTGTATATTTTACTCAATAGTTTTCACATTGAGAATTTATGCAACGATTTTAAACACTTGTTTGAAGCTAAGTGTCAATACTTGTCAACCGTATCATAATCTAATATATCCCATTTTGAACGTGGAAATTGGTATTGACGTACCCTAGCATATACCAAGGCAGAATAAGTGCTATTTATGATTACATGATTGATATTAAGACATCACTAATTGGTTATATGTTTAAACTTTAATCTACCGTGCTAAGAATCTGGAATGGATACCGGACAAATCATCAGAAATATTTTATGCCCAATAAGAAATGGGCCAAAATATATCCTGGACTTAATGGTAAGTTCAGGATATATTTTGGCCCATTTCTTATTGTAAGGTCATTGTAGATGTGGTCGTAGTTACGAAGAGTTTGGAAAAGAGGCTTTTTTGGAGTCACAGGAAAAACGAACAAAATATTATTTGTCAATATTCAAATTTATAATCGATTTTAAAATTTTAATGTAATGTGATCGATAAATGTTGCATTATGTTCTACTGTGTGAAGATAAACTGTTGAATACGCTTCTTCCAATTGAAGTTTTGATTGTTTGTGGTTGGTGTACGTGACTTGTTAACAATGGAGTAAATTGTCGTTTTCGTGTCTACTTCGTACTTGATTGTGATCTGATTTTTTCTGGTTAGTATGTGGAGTACTACAATACGTTGTTATTTGTATAACATTAGCTTCGTACTTGTGCAATTTAGACTTTAGCTATTCGGAAAACAAGGAATATGGTAACAGCTTACACATATAGTGTGTGAAAAAACAAAATGCAGTCTAGTCCGCATAAGTCGTCATGGGTATAACTCGACACCGTCGGTTAGGTACTGTACATAGTCAGTTTTCTGTGGTCCGGCAAACTTACATAGGCATTTTAACATTAATAGGCATTAATGTTAAAAAGTCTGGTTTACTCGACCTTCGTTTAATGAGAAAGAATTAAAAATCTATGAAAATAATTCGATTTTTCAGGGCATTTGAAACTTGAAGCCCAGGGCTTAAGCTCTATTAGTCTCCATGTAGATTCGCCCTTGACCATAAAATACAATTGTTTTGTCATGAAAAATACTAAGTACATGCCAGAGAATGTAATACATTATTAATAGTATTATTTCAATAAGCAATCCGGAGAATATTATATTTTTATAAAAATTGAATTACATCATATAAACCTCATATACACGAAAACTTTTTGTATTTAGTTTTCATTCAATCCTGCACATTATCTACTCTGTTATAATTATGTCAACTATAGGATTGACAAAACTCACAAGAACAGCTAAGAGTTTTTCATGGAGACAGACAATCCAGAAACTTTTGATCGGTTTTCTGTCTCCATGAAAAACTTTTGTTCTTTTCTGAAGTCAATTCTGGAGTCCCAAAGTGGTAGACTAATGCTTTAATTGCATCTGGTTTCTGGCCAGTGATACAATTATTCTTGTATTCTTTAAGACAAACGATTACCCCGTGGAAAGTAAAAGTGTTGTTCTTTATACATGAGTACATAATTAATCGCAAATTTCCTATCTTCTGCAGATGGTATATAATGCAAATGAATAGCACTATTTTTCGTTCCTCACTTCCAAAACTGCAACACATACCTAAAGATAGGATAAAGTATCGCCAGAAGCTCTTAACCATTTAAACTGTAGTAGCTGAGGTGGTTTCATACTATACCAACAAGATGGAATTTGTGAATATGAATAGATTGTTTAAATAGATGCAACTGTTTTTTATAAATCGAAAGTCTTCATGGGAGACTATTCTTTGGCAAATCTCGTTTATTTGAAGAAAATCTCTAATAACAAGTCCACATAATGCAAATGTAAACGGTTGGCCTTTGCCTCATATGTTTTTAGTAGTGAGATTTTGAAATACGTATTTTTATTCGTATTTAATGTTTTGAACTGACATATAGATTCAGATTAATGAAGTACTTTCTTAATTTTATGTCCAGCACCGATTCTCGTATACAGAAAATTCTTCGAGAGAAATTCAAATCTTGTACAGTATTGACAATAGCCCACAGATTACACACAATTATCGATTCGGATAGAGTTCTGGTAAGATTCTTATTTTTAATAAAATAATAAAAATATGTGTTTTTTAATTACACATTTCAAATTTTAGGTTATGGATACAGGAAGACTGCAAGAATTTGATTCGCCGTATGCATTACTAAAGAATGTAAACGGTACTTTTTATAATTTGATAAAGAAAACAGGAAAAACTTCAATGAATGAGTTATACAAAATTGCCAAAGATAAATATTACGCTAAAGAAAGTATCGAAAGTACAAGATGTTAAAATAATAAATCGTCTTCGATAATGATTTTTGTAGATTTCGTGTTATGATTTTTACCATAATACAAGATGTACTGAAAATTTTTATTCACAATTATTTTAGAATATTCTCTTCAAGTGTTATTTTCTTATAGGATGTAAGAGTTTGAATTGTTAAAATGTATATATTTGATACTATTCGTGAGTTAGGCCCTATACATGTGTGGGTAGCCTGAGGTAAGACGAAGTTGTACCTCTTTTTGATAGACAACAGTTTGGTGAGAACTGCCCACTGGTCAATGGATGGCTTGTTTATGGGTTTTTCTATCCCGGAAAGTCGGGATTCTTTTCTCAGGTCGATTGGAGGATGTGAGAGGGGTCGTCGGTAAGACGTTGGCGATACTCGAATTAAAGACACCAATTAACAACAAAACAAGGATTTATTTATAAGATAACATAACTAACATATATACATTGAGCTTATCTCGAGCGGAACCGACACGCGGAAGTGGAGGAAAACGCGTAGAGAGAGAGTTTACATTAATGGGTATCATACCTCTACGAGGAGGGAATCGAACGATCGGACGTTTTCTAACCGAATCGGACAAGTTGTCTCGAGGAACGGACTGCGGCACGGGTTTTCGGCGATCATGAACGGTGATGACGGACCGTGTTCACGGACGG